ATAACATGGAACAGGTATTTTTCATCAAGTATTGATATGTTGAACTTTAAGTCCCTACAGAATATGATAAAAAACATTTAAAAATTAGAATATATTTTAAAAATAGGAATAAAGAATTATATACTTCTTATGTTTACACATAAGTCCAAAAATCTCACCATATGCAACCTTGAAGCAGGACAGCCCCACAATATTCCTTTTCCCATCTCTTGCCTTCATTCACCACCCCCTTCATTTTGAACAACCGTCTACCCGAGAGACTTCATAGCAGCAACTGGCATGTCATGACAGTATTCAGAAGACCAGAATGACAAGCACTCCAAGCATGAACCTACTATTACAGATTACCATCTTCAGTGCAGTTGCTTAGTTCACAGGTATCAGTATATATAGTTAGTCAGGGTGAGAATCTTTCCAATTAACTGCTAGATTAAAAAAATCTTCTGGAGATTCTCAGGATCATTGCGTTGCCCATCTTCTACATGACATGTCTTGACATTATCATGTTTCCTAGCTCTTCTCCTTTCCCTCTCTTGAAAAATATGGACCGCTTCACGAATTTGCATGTCATCCTTGTGCAGGGGCCATGCTAATCTTCTCTGTATCATTCCAATTTTAGTATATGTGCTGCCAAAGCGAGCACCTTCAGTTAGTTTTTGATTCAGGGTTTCACTGTGCTATCCAGGGTAGCCTTTCACGTGCTAAGTTGACAAGACTGGCCTCAAAACTATAGTCTTCCTGCCTCCGCTTTCTGAGTTCCTGGATTACAGGCATATACTACCATACCTGGTTCAAAATTAATCATTTGAAAATGAATAATTAAGTAGCAGCTAGTTGTTGCACATCGTTTTATGCAACTACCACCTCTCATTCTAAACATTTTTATCACCCCAAAAGAAAAACTCTGTATCTGTTAAGCAGTACTTCTTGGACACTTCTTCCCACCTTGACTCCTGACAGCCTCCATTTTATGTACCTGCATCTACCCACTCTGGACATTTTACATCAATGGGATTATACGATATATGACCTCTTGTGCTTGACTTTTTCACTTAATGCTATATTTTCAGTTTTCTTTTGTAATGTTTGTCAGTTTCATTACCTTTTATGTTTGATTCACATATGTTGAATGTGTAGTCCACACTTTGTCCATTCATCTATTGGTGCACCTTTGAACTGTTTTCATCTTTACACTTCTGTTAGTGTTCCTGTGAACATGTAATTTATTTCATTACCTGTTTTTGATTCTTTGAGAGATATATACTGAGTAGAGAAAATGTGTTGTATATGATTTTTAACTTTTTGAGGAAGTGCCAAATTATTTCCCACAGCTCCTGAATCCCACCAACAATGTACTAGGGTTCCAATTGTCAAATCTCATTAGCATGTTTTTTAATTAGTAAAATAACCAAAATTATCTTGGATGTAACGAGAATTTTGTTGAGAGGATCATATGAAACTAAATATATAAAATAATACATCCATAAAGGTGGTCCTGGCTCAGATGATGCAGTTTAAGCCATTAATGGAATGCCTTAGGTGGAACAGTCTGAGTAATTATAAAGGGTTCACTATAAAGCTGCAATAAGCAAAACAGTCGTCTTGGGGCTGGGGAGATGGCTCAGTGGAATAAGAACTTCCCTGGCAAGTGCAAGGGCGTGAGTTCAATCCCCAGTTCCGCGAACACAAAACAAAACAAAACAAAACAAAACAAAACAAAACAAAACAAAACAAAACACAGTTGTCTGAGCATTCAGGAAGCTGAAGCTGGAGGGTGGCGAGTTTAAGGCCAGCCTGGGCTACGTAACAAGTTTCAGATCAGCTTTGAATATATGTATAGGAATACATATATTCTTGCTTAACAAAACATAAACAAAAAAACCCTAAACTCCGAACCAGTCTGTTGTTGAAATAGGCTTGGGCAATTAGATTATTGTAATAGAGTTCAGAAGCAGATCCATGTTTATTTAGTCATTTGATTTTTTCTTTTAAAAAAGTATAAAAGTAATTCAAAGGGGAAAGATAGTCTTTTCAGTTAGTGGTACTGGAATAATAGGATGGATATTCATCTACAAACGAACAGTAAAGAGACTTTTTTTTTTATTTTTTATTTTAGGACAGGGTCTACAGGGTCTCACTGCGTAAATCAGACTTGTAGTGATCCGCCTGTTTACAGCCTCCCAAGTGCTGGTATTACAGGCATACGCCATCACACCCAGTCTCAGCACAGCCCGAGGGCTGGGCCAGTATGGCAGGCCCAGGGATCAACCTAGCAGCCCCTGCATCTGCATAAGCAGGCGCTTTAAGCCACTGAGTGATTTGGCTGTTTCTTTATTTTTATTTTGTTGGTACATTTTAGTTATACATAGTGATAATATTCATCATAAGGAATTTGTATCTTGCTGTGTTTTTCTCCCATTATCCGTTTTGTTTTTTTAAATACCATTTTTATACTAATTATATATTCAAATGCAAACATTCTGACCATTAAACAAAATATGAGTACCAACCCAAATGTTCATATTAACATGGACTGTGGTACAAGTGACCTGAACAGAGAAAAATGCAGCTCAGGTCCACCTCTAGAGGCTACCAGGTGCTCTCTGGTCACCTGGCTCTAAGAACTTCCTAGGTGAGAAAGTGCAGCAAGCAAGATTTCCCTCCGTCCCAGAATATATTCTACGCCTTTTACCCTTACAATACTCCAAGAGTTTTGATGGAAAAAGTTCCTGTGGCCCAAGAAAATCAAGTTGATGACAGTGAGGACCCACATGCCCATCTGCTGGTGTGACAGGTTTGGTGTAGTTCCTAACAATGTTTAACAGTGACCACTTTACAGTCACTGACATACCGGTGGCCCCACTTTTCTGGTACAAGGTGTTCTACTGTGAGCCCTTACATAGTAGGAACTATATCCACATTTTCAGCAGTATTTACATGGTACATGAAAAGTCTTATCAAGTATCAAGGCAAAGGACCAGACCTTCAGCATATAATTAATAATTAAGACTCCAGAGCATGAACCTAACCCCAGATTCAACCATCCAGGGCCTACCAACAGCGTCTTCTGGTAGACCATTACACAAGTGATGGTATACAGATAAATAAAGGGACTTGTTCTCAGCAGAGCAACTGCATTCACCTATTAATTCAACAGCTATACATCACCACATTCTTTGTAGTTTTTGTTTTTGCAGAGCCAGAGATTGAACTCAGGCCCTTGCGCTTGCCAGGCAAGCACTTAATTCAACTGAGCTATCTCCCCAGTCCCAGCTTGGTAGTTTTTTAAAAAGTTAAATATATATACCTGTCTGTGACTCAGTCTCTCCTCTTCCAAGATATGAGAGTATATATTTATTAAAAAATTTGGACGTGAGTGGTCTGGGGAGATGGCTCAGAAAAATAAGCACTTCGCTGGCAAGTGCAAGGGTCTGAGTTCAATCCCTAGTTCCACCAAAAAAAAAAAAAAATTGGACATAAAAAAAAAACAACTGCTGGTTAAACAGGCAAAAATATTTTGGACATGAATGTTGATAATGACTATTTGTGATATGCAAAAGCTGGAAACAACTCCAATATACATTTAACTGGTTCTGGATAAACAAATATTTGCATGCAATGAAATATTGCTCAGCCTATCAAAAGCAATGCATAAGCAATAGTACACAAAAATGTAGATAACTATGAAAATAATTATGTCAAGTGGAAAAAGATGAAGCCAGGTCTCCCTGCCTCCAAGTCCATGGTGTATGATTTTACGTAAGGTTTAGAAATGCAAGCTAGTCTATAATGGTAGTAGATCACTAGTTGCTTAGAGGGCACAAAGAGGAATAGGCAGAAGATTATAAAGGTAAATGAATAAATTTTATGAGGTGATGTATATATTCACTTTATAGTTTACATGTGTCTGAGCAGCTGTACAGTGCTTTGTGCAGAGCATAGAGCATCGCAGTGAGTTTGGGTTAGCAGTGCTTAAAAATATGTTCATCTTTCCTTTCCGTCTTTGGCAAGGATGAATAAGTCATATGTTTGAATTTTAGGGCATGAACAACCATGCTAATGTGAAATACAGTTTTAGGATTTGAAAATTGCCCTTTTTTGTGGTACAGTCTAATAGAACATCTGAAGCAAAGCCTTTTGTGATGTATCCTCAGTGCACATGCTTTGAAATTGGTAGAGAAACACCTGGCTAATTATTTCTGTTCCCCAAATGAACATGTTCAGGTGAAGGTGATGGTTGACTCAGGAGACCAGAAGCGAGCCATCAGTTCTGTGTGCAGCTACATTGTGTACCAGTGCAGCCGGCCAGCTCCTCTTCACTCCCGGGATCTGCACTCCATGATAGTGGCAGCTTTTCAGTGTCTTTGTGTCTGGTTGACAGAGCACCCGGATATGCTTGATGAAAAGGTAGGCTTATTCAGTCTTAAAACATTAAACAGAAATAAAAATGTATGCTGGGAAAATATATTTAAAAATGAGTAAATGTAAATGCACTATTACAAATTTTGAATTTACTTTGTAGATTTCAGTAGAAAACTTACTCTTTTGAGCACTACTTACAGATTGTCATCATATGCATATTTGGTTGCAAATTAACAAAGAGGAAGTTCTTTAAAGGAGGGGGCTTTGTCTAATTTATCTGAACTATCAAAACTATTATTGAAAGGTTGGTAGCCTGGAGATACCTACTAATCACTTTGGTCATGTAGTATCAAAGCAGTAAGGCCTGCCAGGAGTGGTGGCATATGCCTGTAATCCCAGGACTTGGGAGGCTGAGGCAGGAAGATCATCGTGAGTTCAAGACCAGCCTGGGCTAAAAAGTGAGCTCAAGGCCAGCCTGAGCTGCATAACAAAACCCGCCTCAAAAAATGACCACAGAACAAAAACAAAACAAAAAGAGCAATAAGGCTAGTTGATTGTTAGCCTGCAAAGCCAGAGAGTAGCTTATCTGTAAAGGTTGCTTCTATCATGTCATACACATTTTTCCATTTTTAAGTGATCTCGGATGTGTAGTATACTTTTACTGCTACTATTCCTTTTAGGGAAGCAGCGTTAATAAAGAATTTACAGTGAAAATAAAAGATACCAAGGTAATTGAAATCTACATGTAATTTTTAAAGACAATATTATTGATCAAGTTTAATCATTTTTGTTATAGGCTTTAAAGTTATGCTACCAGAAATTGTTTAAAAATGCTTATTACTGATGAGCTTCCATAGATCATTTGTCTTAAACCATCCCAGGTTTAGTTGAAGTACTGTCTTATCTATTTCATTTGTATATGGTAATTGTATAGGAATTCCTGTGGATGATAAAATTGAATTTAGTTTTTTTTACTTATCTACTCATGGATCATTCAGATTTAGTTGTTCTAAAGAGAAATTTGGAGGAGTGTAAAGCTTATTTTATTACTGGAGCTCCACTAACCAAACATAATCACTGTTAGCATTTTGATGGATTCCATGTGTTTTGAAATGTGTATTAGAGAAACTTGTCTCCCTTTCTTGCTTTTAGGACTGCCTTAAAGAAGTACTGGAGATTGTAGAACTGGGTATCTCAGGAAGTAAGTCCAAAAATAGTGATCAAGAGGTCAAATACAAAGGAGATAAGGAGCCAAACCCTGCATCTATGAGGGTGAAGGATGCTGCTGAAGCCACCCTAACATGGTATGAAAGCGGCTACCAGGAATTATGCTTATCGTTAGGTGGGGTTAGTTCTTTGCTGATTGTTCAGCATTAAGTGCTTCTGCCTCTACGATATTTTGTCTCTAGAAAGAAAATGGAAAGGAAATGCTGTTGTATTTTATACTTGCTTTTTAGACCCAGAATTTAGGGCTGAGCTTGAGTGCTTGATTTTTTTTAAAGTAATTGATATTAATGCAAAATAGATCATATTACAGCTGGAAAAGAACTTGAAGAAACTTACTATACTCCTTCAGTTTGCTTGTTGAGTCTAAAGATGAAATGTGTTGTCTGTGTACAGACTATTAGAGTTCTGCTTCCAAGCTTGGTGGCTGTGGTCTCTGCTACGCCATTTATATTACATATTAGAGATTCATTCAGTCAAGATTTATGAACTTTTATAAAATTGGTGATAGAACCATAAAGATAAATCAGATTCAGTCACTACCATCATTACCATCTGGTCCAGTAGGGAACATATGAACATGAATTGCTACAATATTAGGTAACTAATAAAAGTTCAGAAGAGATATAGATAAAGCGCTGGGGAGTTGAAAGGAGAAAATGAGTACTTCCAGATATGGAGAAATTAAAGTAACATCTCTAGGAACAATGACATTAGGCCTGACAAGAACCTGAGGATAGTTTGACCTGTAAGCCAGATTAGGGCATTTAAAAGCACCAAGACAATTGTGTCAAGCTCCCCTTTCTCCTGTTTTTGTTTTTTTGTTTTTTTTCAGATAGAGTCTTGCTATGTAGTTCAGGCTGGCCTTGAACTCATGGAACTTATGTGCCTCTAATTTGCAGAGATCCTTCTTCCTCATTCTCCTGAGTGCTGGAATATAGATGTGCACTGCCACACCCAGCTTTACTTTGTGAAATATTTTGGTAGTACAGAAGTGGAAGCAGAGAGAGAGAGGTTGGCTTCTTGAAAAAGTAGAGCAAATTGAAAGAATTTTGTGTTTGGCAGATAGGTGAGGACACTAGAAAAAGCACAGGAATGCAGTTGAGGCACACTTAAGGACTAAAGGGAACACTTAAGTGGAGAAAATTACATGTAATAACGGGAATGATGGAAAGATGGTATTTATTAAACTTGAATAAAGACCCAGAAAAAAATACAGTATCCTAAAGGAAGAATATCAGATAGTTTGTGTTGACCCCTTTGGTCTTATTAATGATTGACTCTTTTTTGTGTGTGTGGATCTGGGGATTGAGCTCAGGCCCTTGCGCTTGCCAGGCAAGTGATTATTCTACTGAGCCATCTCCCCGGCTTGGTTTTATTAACGGACAGAACTGCTTGAAGATGTGTATGTAAGTCAACCTTTCCCAAGATCCCAGTATCTTTGCAGGTTCAGTGGTCTGTAGCTTACTTGAGCTGTACACAGTGGATTTCTTTATGTTCCTTGCAGGCTCAGGTCTTTAGTAGGGTTTTAGAAAGATGCTTGATTTAATTTCATTATGTTTAATGCCGGATGCTGAGTGACTTCATGGAAGTTTTCCTAATAGCTAGAAAATGTGAATAATATGAGTAGAGCTCCTGAATTATAGGCTTACGCAGTTGATGAGTACTAGAAGTTAAAAGACAAGACCACAGATAGGCTGGGATAGCCTCAAAGTATCTTTGAACTAGGGTTTGATGTTTGCAGTGAAGAGGAAGAAGGATATGGAGAGAAATTGGAAGGCCATTTCTTTCTGGGAACTCTTCAGGATAGACAAGTATTTGCACCATCCTAGCCTGTATGGCGTGTTCCTGTGAGAGTATGGTTACCAGTGAGGATTGGAGATGTACTCAGGGTGAGTAGAGAACTCTAGAGTCCTCCCCAGCCTAGAGGGCAGTTATCTAGAGAGTCTTCTCTTTCTTTTCTGTTGGTAGCTCCATACATGGTATCTCCAGTTTCCGGCTTTGAAGAGTTGTCTTCAGGGAACACTTGTCCCCTACCAAATTGCTCTGTTCTGTTACAGTTGCTGCCTAATGTCAGTATCACCACTGTTTTCCTCTTATAGAAACAGAGAACTTAGCTTTTTCTCTGACTTACGTTTCTGCCATTTCCTATATGAGACTAGCAGCTGAGTCCAGTAGACCTTATTTTGTAAAGCATTCTTGCCATTCCTTCTAATCTGAGATAGCATCCTAGTGGAGCTCTTCCCTATTTCTTGTCTGGTTGATTTGTTTTTAGTCTCTTAATCCTTGGTCATCTTGCATTCTTATTACTACTATTACTACATTCAGCATCCTTAGGCAGAATTTTTATCTTGTTGCTTAAGTGATTGAGAACTTTGAGTAAAACTCTGTTCTCTGCCTTGTTGCCTAAATTTCTTGGTCTGAATTTCAGTGTGACAATCTGATCTTGTCTACCCCTATTCCCCCACACACCTCTCTTAGAGTTGGACCACTTGTGACTGTGAATAGGGCACACATCTGCCTGCTTATGCTCCTCTTGTGTGTTTCAGGACTTCTTCATGTGCCCTTGCTTTCATCCTCCACTGTTCAATGAATATATGAGATATAGCTATGTCCAGAAGACGCGGTTATTCTACTTCTAAAGCATCACTCTTTTGTGCTCGTTTGTGCTCATTCTTTCTTTTTCTTTTCTTTTTTTATTTTTCATGGTACTGGGGATCAAACTCAGGACTTTGTGTTTACCAGGCAAGCACTTAGGCCACTGAGCTATGTCACCAGTATGTGCTCATTTCTTTTTGACCCTATCATACAGTATGAAATTCTTTACTGTCATGATTATGCTTATATTATGTAGTTATCTAGTTATAGTTGTATATACTTGTAGTTTAGTGTTACCTCGCTGGTCTGGGTAGAATCCACATTTCTGTCTTCAGTAAACCTCAAAGTGCAGCCTACATAGTGATAGCCATGGAATAGGTAAGCTGGTTGGATTTTTTCCCCTTTGGTGTTGTAAGATAAGTACAGAGTTAGGAGTCTTAGAAGTCAGTTCAGCATCCTTCTGCTTATGTCACCTTTAACCCACACTTGTCAAGTCATTTTGCTTCTAACGTTGGGATACTGTATCTCCCAAGAGATTGCCCATTTCATTTACTAAAAGCTTAAATGTTTACATTGAGCTAAAACTGTCTTCCACTTTATCTTCTACCCACTGGTTTTGTTTTGTTTTGTTTTAAGACAGGGTCTTGGTATGTAATTCAAGCCTGAAGCCCAGGCTGGCCGCAAACTTGCAGTAATCCTGTCAGCCTCCTAAATGCTAGGATTATAGGCATGTGCATCCATATGTGGCCACCCACTGTTTCTTTTTATTTCATTTATTTATTTTGTATTTTAGGGATGGGTCTACAGAGTGTTCAGGGTCTCACTACTAGATCGGACTTGTAGTGATCCGCCTGTTTATAGCCTGTTTCTAATTCAGATTTGATAGTAGACTTTTTTTTCCCCCCAGACAGTGGCACTGTCTGAAGATACTGCTTGTGTTCTTTCTTTCTT